ATCGACACCCCTCTTTTCCAGATCAGCCCAGCGCGGCAGCTCAGCGGCATCAGGAAACTGGGTGCGCCACGCGTCGTTAAGGCGCGCGAAGCAGCGGTGCGTGGGGTGCGGCCTCCCACACTGCTGGCCGCTGCGGTCACCTGTGCGAATGACGTACGTGCAGGTAAAGCCACGCTGCGCATACCACTCACGGGCGGCCTGAAGCGTCGGGGCGGGCTGCTGACTCGGGCCTCCGCCAGTGCCTCCACGACCACCACCGCCACCACCACCGCCTCGGCCACCTCCACCCCTGCCGCCGCCACGACCACCTCCACCTCCGCTGCCGCCTCCACCCCTGCCACCGCTCCCGCCGCTGCTGTCTCCTCCCCCACTGCCGCCACTAGCCTCCCCAGTCGCGCCTCCACTCCCACCGCCTCCACCCCCACCTCCTCCGCCACCACCCCCACCCCTGCCTCCCTTGCTCCTGCGGCGCCCGCTCGAAGCAGACGCGGTCCCGACCTTCTCAGCACCAAGGAGGTCGACAGCAGCAGCAGAGGCGACAGAGGGGAGGAGGGGGGAAGGGGAACACCCCTCGAAGAACGGGGTGCGGGGGTCGCCACGAGAGGTGCCTACAGCGACGATGCTCGCCTCAGCTGCAAGCAGTTCCTTCTCGAGGAGGGCAACAGTGAGCTCAGTGGGGGAGCGAGAGAGGAAGTGGTCCCTGACAGCGCGCAGAGAGTCAGGGAGGCGGGTGACGATGTGGTAGAGAGTGATCCAGAGCGGGGGGGGTTGCTAGTGAGAAACTCGGCAGGCATAGCAGCGCGAAAGCGGGCCTCACTAGTCTTAAGGTGGGTGATGAGGTCTGCGACAGTGTGAAAGGAGGCTAGGTCGGGGAACAGGTAGGGGAGAGTGAGGCGGCCTAGCGTAGCAGAAGCGGGTGAGGAGTAGCGGGCAACTACAGCGGTGTAGAGGTCCTTAGCAGTCTTGCACTGGCCGAAGTGCTCGCGCTCGTCTAGCGGCAGGGAGTTGCGAATAGCAAAGCGAGCGTGCGCATCACGAGTCTGCCACTGAGAGCGTAGAGTGCTGTCAGCAGACGTGTCAGGGGCAGTAGCATGGCCTAGGGCGTGGTCGTACAGCGAGATGTCTTCCTTGGCAGTGAGCTGTAGGAACAGGTGCAGGTCATCTAGCCAGGTTTCGAACTTCACCGGACGGCCCTCGGCATCGAAAGCTAGAACGGGAGGACTAGCCATAGTGACAGTAGTAGGAGGAGGAACTAGGCCGCTGGAAAGGTGTGCGTAGGGTCAACGGGACCGGCGGGGCCGCTAGGTAAGGCGCGGGCGGGGTCGACTGTCCGTAGTGGCACACGAGCGGCAGGAGTAGGGAGCGTGGCAGCAGGAGCTGCAACGGCGCACTGGTGGCAGCTGCAGTGGCAGCAGTGTGCGCGGTAGGTAGCGTAGGGGCAGCGGCGGCGCACGGGCAGCGGCGGCGCACGGGCGGCAGCAGTGCACGTGCGGCGACGGCAGGAGGCGGCGGTGCGCAAGCAGCAGCGGAAGCAGCGCACGGGCGGCAGCTGCGTATGCGCACGTGCGGCAGTGGCAGCGGCGCACGGGCGGCTGCGGGCAGCGGGGCGTGCGCGAGCAGGCGACGGGCGGCTGCGGGGCGTGCGCGAGCAGGCGACGGGCGGCTGCGGACGGGCGGCCTCTGCGACGGCGGGCTGCGGGCCTGCGGGGCGTGCGCGAGCAGGCGACGGGCGGCTGCGGGGCGTGCGCGAGCAGGCGACGGGCGGCTGCGGGGCGTGCGCGAGCAGGCGACGGGCGGCTGCGGACGGGCGGCCTCTGCGACGGCGGGCTGCGGGCCTGCGGGGCGTGCGCGAGCAGGCGACGGGCGGCTGCAGCAGCGGGTGCGTCAGCGTGGCGCACAGGGCAGCGGCGGGCAGTGCGCGAGGCTACGAGGCGCACGGGCAGCAGCGCAAAGGCGCGCGGGCAGCGGGGAGGCAGCGTGACGGGCCGCGCGCGAAGAAAATAAAGCGCGCGCGGGCAGCTGGCGGGGCGCACGCGTGAAAACGGCCGCGCGCGAGCGGCTAGTACGGCGCGCGCGGTAAAAAAAAAAAAAGGAAAGCCACGCGCGGGCGGCTAGCGAGCTGCGTGCGCGTGGTAGGTAGGTAAGGAGCGCTCTAGGACGCGCAGGCGCACGAGGCGCACAGTAGGTAGGTAGGTAGGTAGGTGGGCCCTAAGAACAGTCCTAGCGACGGACCTGCTCTGAAACCATGTCAGTGATAACGGACTGGAATGGTGAACTAGAAAGGATTGTGAGTACAAATATGAAACCCTAATGTGGTGACCCCCCTATAGGCTAACCCACTACAGCCTACACAAACACAACATATATAATGTTTGACACTTTTCATATTCCCTGTACTCTTACGGTATATACGGTATCTGTTTGATTAAGAAGGCATAGCAAAAGTAGGACATAGTGCATAGTACTAGAGAAGGGTAACCTATACGCTGATGGGTTAGTGCAATTTTTGCTTTGGAATTAGTGAGTAATTTGAATCCATTTCGAGGCTTTTATAGCGAATAACCACAAGTCACACACTTCAGCAATCTTTCCCGCCAAAACCGCCATGGCCGTCCGCACATTGCGCTAGCGCGAGCCGCTTGTATCCGCACGCGGACGTTCCCCTAATCGTTTGTAGCCGTCGCAACACCTGCGTCTCGCGTCGCGCGTAGTTCAAAGCTTCGCTGATTGGTATCGACGTAGCGCACGTTGCAGTCACAAGCCCGTATCACCATTGTTGACCGGAACGATCTCTCGTTTATCGCACTGCAATAAAAGACAAAATACCTTTCATTTCGCGACATTTTGTGAATATCGTAACCAGTTGGTAACTAGGTGGTTACCCCACTTCCAACCTGTCGTTTGCCGTCGTCGCTGCTATCTCGTAATCTTTGAGCGACAGCTGGCTTCGCGTGCATCCCTACCGATACCAGTCTTTCTAAGAGTCCGCCGATGTTATAGATACCGACTTGGTGTCGGCATTCCTACGAGCAACTTAGTTCTGCAGTTCGTTCGTTTCACTGAATCTCGAATTTGCGTCCGTGACTCCCGAGGCGCAGTTGAGTTTCTGAGTTACCTAGTTTCCAAGTCCCGTATTCCAAGCCTCCGAACCGCCAAGTCTGCGAGCCTCTCTGTCTCTCCAAACCGCCTTGTGTCCGAGCCTCCGAGCCTGAGGCTCAGCTCCAAATGGGTCGGTCAAGGGGAGCCGGGGAGGAGGACCACGCTCCTAGCGGTGGTTCCAGGTGAGTGGTCTTGTGTGCGGTGGATGGTATGTTGTTGGTGCTAGTAACGGGTGAGCTAATGAGGGAACCTGGGGAGGAGGACCACGTGGCTAGTGGGGGCTCCAGGTGAGTGGTGCTGTGTGGTCTGGATGGTATATTAATGGTGCTACTAACAAGTGAGCTAATCACGGAACCGGGGAGTAGGACCACGCGCCTAGTGGGGGCTCTAGGTGAGTGGTGATGAGCTGTATTGCACGTGAGCTTTATAGGGGAGCGGGGGAGGAGGACCACGCGCCTAGTGGGGGCTCTAGGTGAGTGGTCTTGTGTGCGGTGGATGGTATGTTGCTGGTGCTAGTAACGGGTGAGCTAATAAGGGAACCTGGGGAGGGGGATCACACTTCTTGTGGGGGTTCCAGGTGAGGGGTGCTGTGCGCGGTGGATGGTATGTTGCTGGCAGGTCGCTGCAGGCAGGCGGGAGCAGGGGAAAGGACATCTTTTCCTTTCAACCCCTCACCTCCTCTTTTTCCCACTCCCGCCTTCCTCCCCAAACCCGCCCGACTCCCATGCCCCCCTCCCCCTCCTCCCCCTTCCCTTTCCCCCAGATCCAAGCGTCACCGCTATGCCACCACAAGCTTTCAGGACGCTGGGGGGGGGGAGCAGCGGGGGAGTTTCCCCCCTCTCATTGCCCATTTCCTCCCCATATCCCGCTTCTCCTCTCCTCCCCATGCCCTTCATCTTCCCCCAGATCCAAGCGTCACCGCTATGCCACCATAAGCTGGCAAAACAAATGGGGGTGGGTGGGGAGCGGTGTGGGGGGACATGTTCCCCTTTAACCCTTCCTTTCCCCCGTTCCCTGCCCCTTTCGTCCGAAACTCCGCCCTCTCCTTCCCTCCCCGATCCCCTACCCCTCCTCCTCCCCCTTCCCCTCCCTCCCTCCCCCTCCCCCTCCCCCTCCCCCTCCCCCTCCCCCTCCCCCTCCCTCTCCCCATTCCCCTTCCCCCAGGCCCAAGCGACGCCACTATGCCACCACAAGCTGGCAAGACGCCGTGGGGGGGGGAAGCAGCGCGGGAGTTTGTGCCCTCTTATTGCCCATTTCCTCCCCAAATCCCCCTTCCCCCCTCTGCCCCTCCCCCTCCCACAGACCCAAGCGTCACCGCTATGCCACCACAAGCTGGCAAGATGCCGTGGGGGTGGGGGGCAGCGGTGGGGGAGTTTTCCCCCTCTCATTGCCCATTTTCCTCCCTGGATCCCCCTTACTCCACCCCTCCTTCCCCCCGGTGCCCTTCTCCTTCCCCCAGACCCAAGCGCCGACGCTATGCCACCACGAGTTGGCAAGACACCGTGGGGGGAGGAAGCAGCGGGGGAGATTGGAAATTCCCGTTTCATCTCCCCTTTCCTATCTCCCTCTCTCACTCCCCTTACCCTTCCCCCAGACCCAAGCGCCGCCGCTATGCCACCACGAGTTGGCAAGACGCCGTGGGGGGAGGAAGCAGTGGGGGGGGAGGGGTGGGGGGGGAAGGCGCAGGCGCAGCAGCAGGGGGCGGGGGGGGACCCGGGGGGGGCGGGGGAGCAGGCGGAGCGGGGCGGAAGGGGGTGTACCACTGCAACTACTGCCACAGGGACGTGACGGGGGAGGTGCGCGTGAAGTGTGCGGCGTGTGTTGACTTCGACCTCTGCGCTGAATGCTTCTCCGTTGGAGCTGCTGTGCATCCTCACTCCGCTTCGCACCCGTATCACGTTATGGTGAGAGGCGACTTTTTGCTCGTATATGCGTGTCTTTCCTGCCTTCCCGCCCTTCCCATCCCACCGCCGACCTTTTCTTTGTACACCCCTGCTGCATGACCCACTAAGCCCATGTGCTTGTGTTTTCATGCAATCCTGCTTCTGGCCAAAGAGATGTGCATTGAATGTTCGTGAACGCATGCATGTGTGAATCAACTCTCAAATCACATGCAAATTGTGCTTCCCTCTCATCCACTGGCTCAACCCACACCACCAGGACACGATGAGCTTCCCTCTCGTGCACGAGGATTGGACTGCTGACGAGGAGATGCTACTGCTGGAGGTGAGGCATGCTGGCGCTAGTTTCCCCTCTTGGTTCCTCCGTTGTAGAATTAGCCACTATGATGAGCTTTCCTTCGTGCACGAGGACTGGGCTGCTGACAAGGAGATGCTGCTGCTCAAGGTGAGTAGGCGCGCTCGGCCTTTTTGTGAGGATCATTCCGTTCAGAATACTTTTCGTGTGTGCAACTTGTTTTCCTTTTTTTTTTTTTTTTGAGAAATACTTGGAACTGATTTTCATTCAACATGAATTCCAATGTATGATGTTTCCTTTTCTTTCCCACCCCTCTCCCATGCCACCCCACGGGCGCTGGAGAAGGAATGGGCAGCTGGGGGGAGATAGCAGAGCACGCGGGGTGCAAGAGCAGTAGGGAGCAGCTGGATCTACTTTGCAATGCTCCTCTCTCCTCCTGCCCCCTGTCCTTCCCCTCCTTGCACGCATCAGGCGCTGGAAATGTACGGAATGGGCAACTGGGGGGAGATTGCGGAGCACGTGGGGTCGAAGAACAAGACGCGGTGTCATGACCACTACCTTTACGACTACCTGCTGTCACCGACCGGCCCCTTGCCTGTGAGTAGAAGAAACCATGTATGTAACCTTGTGTGCATGTGTGGGCATGTGCGCCTGTGCGCATGCGAAGAGCAAGACACAGTGCCACGACCATTACCTTTACGAGTACCTGCTGTCACTGACTGGCCCCTTGCCTGTGAGTTTACCGTAGCCATTTTGCTTGTGAGTGTACCTTCTGCCTGCCTGCCAGTCAAAGAGCAAGACGCAGTGCCACGACCATTACCTTTACGAGTACCTGCTGTCACTGACTGGCCCCTTGCCTGTGAGTTTACCGTAGCCATTTTGCTTGTGAGTGTACCTTCTGCCTGCCTGCCAGTCAAAGAGCAAGACGCAGTGCCACGACCATTACCTTTACAACTACCTGCTGTCACCGACTGGTCCCTTGCCTGTGAGTAAAGTAGAAGAACAACGTAGCCTTGTGTGCGTGTGCGCATATGGGCATGCGAAGAGCAAGACACAGAGTGCACTACCTCTTTGACTAACAGGGCATGGGTATAGAGGCAAAGAGGTCGTGACAGAATGGCCAAGACCTCTATGGACTGCGTGGGTCGCTTCCTGTGAGTGTGTGCTGCGGAGTGTAAGTCCAAGGGACTATGGGTTTAAGGTATCCATATAATCTTGTGTGTATTGGGCACGTGGGAAATGTTTACTGCTACGTTACTCACTCTACTCTACGAATACCTGCTGTTGCTGCGCAACCCTCTGCTAGCAGTTCCATTTTTTTTTTAAAGTAACCCTAATGTGCTCTTCACTTCTCCCTTCCTCGTTCCCTCCGTCTTGTCCCTCCTTTGTCTTGTCCCTCTTGTGCCCCTGCCTCTCTTGCCAGGACCTATTCGCCTGCGCACGCAAGCGGACACGGAAGCAGGCAAGACACCAATGGAGGAGCAGGAGGCAGCCGAGACTGCTGGCTTGAGTCCAACCCTTATTTCCCTCCTCCGTGCCCCCCATTCCCTGCCCCCGTTCCAGGATTTATCTCGCCTGCGCACACAAGCAGACACGGAAGCAGCCAAGGCGGCCATGGAGGAGCAGGAGGCAGCAGAGTTGCTAACCTGAGTCTACCTAGCCCTTATTTTCCCTCCGCAGTGCCGTCTGTGCCCCTGCCTCTCTCCAGGATCTGACTCGTCTGCGAACCCAAGCGGACACGGACGGAAGCAGCCAAGGCGGCCAGCCATGGAGGAGCAGGAGGCGGTAAAAACCTGCTGGCTAAGCGTTTACCCGCACTTTCTGTCTGGGTCCCTCCCATGTCCATCCTGTATTCCTGCCTGCCTCTCTTGCTAGGACCTATCTCGCCTGCGCACCCAGGCAGACACGGAAGCAGCCAAGGCAGCAATGGAGGAGCAGGAGGCGGCAGAGACTGCTGGCTTGAGTCGAACCCTTGTTTTCCCTCCGCCGTGCCCTCTGTGCCCCTGCCTCTCCCCAGGACCTGACTTGTTGTGAACACGAGCAGACACGGATGGCAGCAGCCAAGGCGGCCATAGAGGTGCAGGAGGCAGTAGGAACCTGCTGTCTTGGCTTTAAACCCACACATTCTATCTGCCTCCCTCCCATGGCCCTCCTGTATTCCTGCCTTTCTTTCTCCAGGATCTATCTCGCCTGTGCACGCAAGCGGACACGGAAGCAGCAAAGGCAGCAATGGAGGAGCAGGATGCGGCAGAGACTGCTGGCTTGAGTCTAACCCTTATTTCCCTCCTCCGTGCCGCCTTTGCCCCTCCGTTTTCCAGGACTTGTCACGCCTGCGCACCCAAGCGGACACAGAAGCAGCCAAGGCGGCAATGGAGGAGCAGGAGGCAGCAGAGACTGCGGCCAGGGCACAGGAGGCAGTTCTGTTCAACGTTCCAGTGGTCAAGTGAGTGACCTTTAAATCCGCATTCTATACCTCTTTACATGCACCTCAATGCAAAGCACAATTGGCAGTTCTGCTCAACGTTCCCGCGGTCAAGTGAGTGTTGTTGAGGTGGTGAAATGAGTTTTATCGGTGTGGGTGAATGAGTTCGTATTTTAACTGAGTGCATGATGTTGTTAAGCCTTTTCTTGACGTGTCAAATCAAATTTCAGTCGTGTAGTGAGTGAATGTTCCCCTCCTTCCCTCCTCCATCCTCCGCTGCCACCCCAGGCCAGAGCCTGGCAGCAAAGCGGACGACACTGCAGTGCCAACCACAAGCGGGTACAATGCAAAGCGCAATGAGTTTGACCCGGAGTATGACAACGAGGCAGATGCACCACTGTGTGCCTCTTATCTCTCCCCTCTTCTCCTTCCCACCCACCACCCCAGGCCCGAGCCCGGCACCAACGACGCTGCTGCGCCAATCACGAGTGGGTACAACTCAAAGCGCAACGAGTTTGACCCGGAATAGGACAACGAGGCAGAGGCACCACCGTATGCCTTCCCTCCCTTTTCTCCACCCCTCCCTCCTCCCCTCCTTTCCCGACCACTGCAGACCCGAGCCCGGCACCAAGACAGACGACGCTGCAGCACCGATCACAAGCAGGTACAACTCGAAGCGCAACGAGTTTGATCCGGAATATGACAACGAGGCAGAGGCACCACCGCTGTGTGACCTGTATCATTCCTTTCCTCCTCCTCTCCTCCTCCCATGCCCACTGCAGGCCAGAACCAGGCACCAAGACGGACGATGCTACAGCACCGATCACAAGCGGGTACAACTCGAAGCGCAACGAGTTTGACCCGGAATATGACAACGAGGCAGAGGCTCCGCTGGCAGAGCTGGAGTTTAAAGATTCCGACTCGAGCGTTGACAGACAGCTGAAGATCAAGATGCTGCACATCTACTACTCGCGGTGGGTTGGTGTGGTTTAACTGTATGTAGACATTGTTCTGTACATGTGAGGCAGCGGCGGCACCACTGGCAGAACTGGAGTTCAAGGATTCGGATTCAAGTGTGGATAGGCAGCTCAAGATCAAGATGCTGCACATCTACTACTCACGGTGTGTGTAGCTTGTATTGTGATGAATCGTATCAGTATGCAGAGGCTCCGCTGGCAGAGCTGGAGTTCAAGGATTTCGATCCAAGCGTGGATAGGCAGTTGAAGATGACGATGCTTCATATCTACTACTCCCGATGCGTTTGGTTTGTGTTGCGGGTGTCACAGCATGCAACAGCGTCGTACAGTACAATGTTGGCAGAGCTGGAGTTCATGGAATCGGACTGGATTGTGGATAGGCAACTCAAGGTTGAGATGCTTCACATCTATCTGCTACTTTAGGCTGGAGGAGCGGTCCCCGCGCAAGGCCTTCGTCCTGGAGTGTGGTCTGCTGGACCCCAGAAGAGTGGACGGAACGAGGGGTAATGCAAGGCTAGAGGATCCACTTTTACTCCACTCCAACCCCTCCTCACCTGCTTTCCCCTCCCTTTCAGGCTGGAAGAGCGGTCCCGGCGCAAGGCCTTTGTCTTGGAGTGTGGTCTACTGGACCTGAGAGGAGCCAGCTGTAATGATAGGCTATGAAACCACCTTTACTCACATAGCATCGTCTCCCCCTGCTCTTCGTTCCAGGCTGGAGGAGTGATCCCGGCGCAAGGCCTTTATCTTGGAGCGTGGCCTGCTAGACCCGAGAAGAGCCGTCACTCACTGAGGCCCCCCCTCCCACCGCCCCCCTTTTTTTTTTCTTCTTCAGGCTGGAGGAGCGGTCGCGGCTCAAGGCCTTCATTTTGGAATGTGGTCTGCTGGACCCGAGAAGAGTCGTCACTCACGCAGCATTATTTCAAACCCTTCCCCCTCCTCTCCTTTCTCCTCTCTCCCGCACCCTCTCCCCTTCAGGCTGGAAGAGCAGTCGCGTCGCAAGGCCTTCATCCTGGAGCGTGGTCTACTGGACCCGAGAAGGGCGGTCACTCACTGAGGCCCCCCCTCCCCCCGCCCCCCTTTTGTTTTCTTCTCCAGGCTGGAAGAGCGGTCCCGGCGCAAGGCCTTCATCTTGGAGCGTGGCCTTCTGGACCCGAGAAGAGTGGACGGGACAATCCGACCCGACACCACCAGCGGCAGCAGGGAGAAAATCAGGGAGCGAGACAGGGAGAGAGACAGGGACAGGGACGGGACAGATGAGCAACACAAGAGAGAGGATGGTGCGGAACAGGGAGGGGAAAGGGAAGGGGGAAGTCTGGGGGAGGTGGGGACAGGCGCGGGAGAGGGAGGTGGGGAGAAGGGGGAAGGGGGAGGGAGGCGTGGAGGGAAGCGAGGAGGTGGCGGGGAGAGGAGAAGGTCGAAGGAGGAGAGGGAGATGTTTCTGCGGTGCCGCGTGTTTGCGAGGTTTCTGAGTGCAGAAGAGCACGAGGGGCTGGTGCAGAGTTTGAAACAAGCTCAGAGATTGAGAGACAGAGTGGCCGTGCTGCAGGTGAGAGCAGCTTGCCTGTAGGTTTCTGAGTGCCGAGGAGCACGAGGGGCTGGTGCAGAGTCTTACTCAGGCGCAAAAACTGCGAGACAGAGTAGCCGTGCTGCAGGTGAGAGCAGCTTGCTTGTTGTTTTCTGAGTGTACAGGATCATGAGGGGCTTGTGCAGATTCTGACTAAGGCGCAGAGACTGCGAGACAGAGTGGCTGTGCTGCAAGTGAGGTGGTGTTGTGATCCTGAGGGCTTTTGGTTGCTTGAAATATCACTGAATAGCACCTGGCACTTTGTCAAAGCCCAGAGGAGCACGAGGGGCTGGTGCAGAGCCTGACACAGACACAAAGGCTGCGAGACAGAGTGACAGTGCTGCAGGTGAGAGCAGCTCTCTTGTTTGATGATTGGTGGTAGTGGGAATAGATGAACAATCTGTCTTCTCCTTTCCTTGCAAGTCGTTTGACAGGAGCTGAGAGAAGCAGGGTGGAAGTCACTGGCGGAGGGTCGTTCATTGTCAATGCAAATGCTCCTCTTCCTCACCTCTCCTTCCCTTCATCCCCTCCCATCCCCTCCCATGCCCTCCCATGCCCTTCCATCCCCTCCCATCCCCTCCCATGCCCTTCCATCCCCTCCCATCCCCTCGCATGCCCTTCCATCCCCTCCCATCCCCTCGCATGCCCTTCCATCCCCTCCCATTCCCTTCCATCCAAACCCCTTTCAGGAACTGAGAGCAGCGGGGTGCAAGTCGCTGGCGGAGGGTCGTCGGTTCATCCAGGCTCATTACAAGGACAACCCCGCTGCTGCTGCTGCTGCCATTGCATGCCTTCCGCCGTCGGCCACAGGTGGGGTTGCCGTCTCTCCGTAACAAGGGTGTTTAAGCTAGCTAACACAAATAAGTGCCGCCGCTGCCACTGCTGCCATTGCGTGCCTTCCTCCCTCCGCCACAGATGCGATTACTCACCTTTTTGCCACAGGTGGAGCTATGCACCCTCCGCCACAGGTGTGTGAATGCTTGCTAGCTCGGAGTATTTAAATTTCAGTGCAAGAAGAGCAATGTTTCTGCGGCTGCTGCTGCTCCTGCCGCCGCTGCTGCTGCAGCTCCTGCCACTGCTGCTCCTGCAGTTGCGCCTCCTGTCGCTGCTCCTCCTGCTGCTGCTGGTGCTGCCGCTGCTGCTCCTGCCATTGCTCCTCCTCCCACTGCTGGTGCTGCCGCTGACGCCATCGCGTATCTTCCTCCTCCACCACAGGTGGGGTTGCTACCAACCCTCTTTCACAGGATTTTACCGACCCTCCACCACAGGAAACGAAAGCGGTGGGCACATGCACGTATACATCCGCACATGTGCATCATACACACAGCATGTTCACAGGCACTGCTAAGCAACCCATTGCCCATTGCCCATGTTCCTGCTCCATTGCCCGGACCTTTCTTTGTCCCTCCCTTCGTTCCTTCGCCGCTTGCCCCCACAGCCATCAGCACGGCAGCAGGAGGTGCCTCAGCGGCTCTTGACATTTCCGCCCACCCTGGATGTGACCTGCTATCAGCTAAGGTGAGATTTCCATGCTCAAGGTATCAGGATATGTTGCAATCTGCCAAGGTGCAATATCTACCTGCAATGCATGCCCTGCTATTAGATCAGCTACAGTGAAAACATGGAGATGGGTTCATGGGAACCATCTTTATGCCTCCAATTTACCATGTTGTGTTGCTTACAATCCTCTGTGTAGTGATGCGTAACCGCTTAGCTGCAAAACTCCTCTTTTCGTGCATGTTTGTTTCCTTTGCCTTTCTTCTGTTATATTTCTCAATTCCTTAAGATATTTCTTGCTAGTTCTTCTGTTGACTTCAATTTCATGCCTTTGGCAAACCCTCCCTCCTTTCTATTGCCACTCACTCCCTCCCTCTTCCCCGCTTACTCACCCATGCGCCAACCCCTGCCCTTACTCTCATGGATCACAACAAACAACGCTGTCCGCCTTCTGGAAAATGCCAAACCATGCCGTGCGCTCAGGAGCGTGAGCTGTGCACACACATGCGCCTTTTGCCAGCACACTACCTCCGCGCCAAGCAGGTGAGGTTCTTTTAGTTTCTCAAAGGGAAAGCAGGTATGCTTTGATGCTTGCGCCCACAACTCTATTTGGGCATCAGGAGTCGACTGCTGCCAGCACAATACCTCCGAGCCAAGCAGGTAGATTTCTATCGTAGGTGTGTGTATGACCAGTACATTCAGTTGGCTCAGGAGTGACAAACAGGTTAGCTCGTTAAGGACCTCCTTCAAGCACCCACTATTGATGTCTGGTGCCCTGACTTTTACCTTGCACCATCCCCCCTCTTATCCTGTCTTTTCCACCCATCACCGCCCCCGCCCACCTGTGTCATCAGATCATTTTGCAGCAAGCAGCGCTGTCAGGAGGGACCATCTCACGAGCACCAGTGCCCTGACTCTTCCGCCTGCCCCCCGCCACCACAGATGGCATGTACCCTGCCTCATTCCGCACTGCACAACACCCCATCTCCCATCCCATCAGGTCATCTTACAGCAAGCAGCCCTGTCGGGAGGGGCCATCTCACGAGCAGCAGTGCACCGACTCTTCCGCCTGCCCCCCGCCACCACTGACGCAATCTTTAGACTCCTGCTGGGGGCTGGCTGGATAGCTGAATCTGGGGGAAACAGTGCAGGTGGTGTAATGGGTGGGGCAATGGTGAAGCAAGAGGGAATGTAAGATCCGGAAAGTATGTGACATCAGGTTGCCCCCAGCCACCACTGACGCCATTTTTAAACTCTTGCTGGGGCCTGGCTGGATAGCTGAAGCTGGGGGAAACAGTTCTGGTGGGGGAATGGGAGGGGCGATGGGAGGGGCGATGGGAGGGGCGATGGTGAAGCAGGAGGGGATGTGAGATTTTCCCCCCTTCAGCCACCACTGACGCCATTTTCAGGCTTTTTCAATTGCTGGGGGCTGGTTAGCTGAAGCTGGGGATAACAGTGGTGGTGGGGTGATGGGAGGGGTGATGGGAGGGGGGATGGTGAAGCAAGAGGGAATGTGAGATCAGGTTGCACCAGCCACCACTGATGCAATTTTCAGGCTCTTTTGTCAGCGGGTATCACTGACGCGGGCAGCAGGCAAAAAGTATGTGGATCAGGTTGTCTCCCTGCCACCACTGACGCCATTTTCAGACTCCTGCTGGGGGCTGGGTGGATAGCTGAAGCTGGGGGTGGTGGAACTGGTTGGGGGCCGATGGGAGGGGAGATGGGAGGGGGAATGGTGAAGCAGGAAGGAATGTGAGCTCTCCCCCCCTAGCCGCCACCGATGCCATCTTCAGATTCATGCTGGCCGCTTGCTGGGATATCTGCAGCTGGCTGGTGGGGTGATGGGTGGGGTGATGGGTGGGGGGATGGGTAGGGGATGGTTGGGGGGATGGGTGGGGGTATGGGGGGAGCAACTTAGTTCCGTCAATTGTAGGTTCCGGAAAAGGTGATCCTAGCTGCATGAGGTTCTGTCCACAGAACTTTTGTTGCATCCAGCTGTTAGTCGTCTCAGAATGCAGCAGGTTTCTTCCCCATACTGCCACAACCATTGATTAAGGCGCAGTGCAGGCAGGGCTTATTTATACCCTTGCCTCTTTGCCTCATGGTGATGGAACAGCATCGCACCATGCGCCCAGACATGAAGAATATGAAAATCCTATGATATGTGACTAATTTATGTTCTTACTATTGTAAGATAAGAATTGAATTCAAGAAACTTCAAGTTTGGCATGTACTTCCCCAAATTTCCCGTTGTGGAATCCACCCACTCATAACACTGTCGCACAACGAATCCATGAGGAATCCATTCCATATACGGTACAATTTGTCACGCCTAGTCTACGCCTTGCTCTCGCCTTGAAGCGAAATTGACGCATCACGCGAGACGGGTCGTACGCCCAGCGCGAAGTTCTGGTATCGCTCAGGAGGCTTGTTCGCTGGCAGGGATTGGGGGGGGTCTGCATTTCTGCGCATTACGCTAACGGATTTGCTCAGTTTTTGCTTATGGCGGGAAACCAGGTTCAGCTTTGTTGTGTCCCCGGCAAAGTTCACCGACGTGGAGACGACACTAAATAGGTGTCGGTTTCCTTATTCCGTAACACGGTAGGTGTTTTTGCTGTTTTTTCTCCTCACTAAGCGTGTCGCCTCTTTCCCTTGTCAACAAGCGGACCTAGTTCACGATGACGATGGCGACAGCAAGGCTTCTGGAGGGGATTGTGAGTGTAGGGACACAGTTAGCCGTTCTATTGGAGGATGCAAGGAGGGAGTTGGAGGCGAACAGCGACAGAGAAACTCTTCGGAAATCACGGAGAGCCCAATGCTGACTGATAGATTGGAAAAGCTGGAGAAACTTTTGAAAGAAACGAGGGAGGAGGAAACTAACAACATAAGCGAGCTCAAGAATGAGTTAGCAGCTGAGAGGGCTGCAAGGGAGGAGGAGAAGGAGGTGGCTGCACTGACAGTGCGACTCTGGCAGGCAGAGGAATTGCTTTCGCAGGAGAAGGAAAAAAGCTGCAAATTGCTGGAGGTGAGCGCATGTAACCAAAACGTGAGTAAGACGATGCTTATTTTCCACTTATGCCTTTTCTCACAATGTGTTTTCTTCAGGCGATTCCTCGGTCTTCTTGTCAGCCAACAACGACTACAGATGTTCAGGATGAAATACGTGCTATAAGAAAGGAGATGGAGAACATTGTGACGGCATTGACAGCACAGTCGGCTCAGGCAGAGAAAATGCGGGTGCAGCGAAAGGAGGAATCGAGGAAGGTGCTTGAGGTGAGATGTTAGCCTGCTGGAGGCATGTGGTTGGAATTTGTGCATCCTCGTCCGTTTTGTCATGGCTAATTTCCAAAACATTGTGATGCTTTCAGGCTATCTATCTCGCCTCGGACTAGCCACCGAACAAGACAGATGCGAGGATCATTCGTGCTGACGAAAGCACAACGTTTCTGAAAGTGGACAGGTCAGATGAGCCACTAACTGACTGTGGACTTCTTCACCTCCCTTTCTTGACATCCCTTAAACGCCTGGAGATTTCCCATTGTGTCCAGAAAGCCGCCTTGTGGCATCTCTACACCATGACATGGCTGGAGGAGCTGAAACTTGAATCAGACAAATTTGATGATTCAGTGATTCTGGGCATGAGAACACTAACTGCCCTCCGTCGCCTTGAGCTGGTAGATACAGGGGTTTCAGGGGATGGGTTGGCTCATCTTACATGCCTGGGCTCCCTCAAAGTCCTTATCCTTTCTTATGGTAAGCACACTTTGTCGGCTGGCATGGTGCATCTCGGGAAATTGACATGGTTGGAGGAGCTGATTTTATCATACAATTATGGTTGGATGGACTTGGGAATCATGAGCAACCTCACGGCTCTCCGTCGGCTGGAACTGGTACAAACGTGTGTTTCGGATGATGGGCTGGCTCATCTGACATGCCTTGGCTCCCTCAAAGTCCTTGTTCTTTCACGATGTGGTGATTACATCTCATCGGCTGGTTTGGTGCACGTGGGAAAGCTGACATGGCTGGAGGAGCTCAAACTTCAATCTCATCATTTTGATGATATAGTGGGTATGGGCATCAGCAATCTGACAGCTCTCCGCCGGCTTGAGATAGTAGAGTCACAGGCTTCAGAGGATGGGCTGGCTTATTTGACATGCCTTGGCTCCCTCAAAGTCCTCATCCTACGTACTTACATCTCAGCGGCTGGCATGGTGCATGTGGGGAAGCTGACATGGCTTGAGGAGCTGAAAATTGACTCGCAGTGTTTTGATGATTCAGTGGTTCCGGGAATCAGCAACCTGACGGCTCTCCGTCGGCTTGAACTGATCGAGACGCG